TCTCAAACTTAAGTGGTAGAATATCTAGAAGTCACAGGACCATAAAGCAATGATTTACTAAACTTAACATAATTGAATAGACAACTTTGTGTTAAATCAGATAAGAACTTACATCAAATTATAACAAACCAAAATAGTAGGTGTAAAAAATATAAGAAAAAAATATGGAATAAAAACTTAAAATTGAAAAAACTATATAAATTAAACTCATTACTTTTTTATTGAAGAAAGACAACTACTATTGATCATTTTATTTCAGCAGCCAAATACCAGACTTTTACATAAACAATGGTCCTCTATGAATATTTTAAAATCACTGAACTGGAAAACATGAATTAGGACTAGATAATAAATAAGCCTGCAAAAAGGGGACATCTCATAGCTTGGCCCTAACACAATGGCAAGTCCATGTTTGTCTTTTTAAGTTACTTAACCCAAAGTAATGACATTACAAACAATTTTGAAAGGAGAGGGAAAAATCACTCAGAACTTCTAATCCTAATAAAATTACTGCTAATATTTAGTACATTTTGTTATTTTAAAATATTTTTTTTCTTTTTTTAAATGTATCTTTATTGTTGAAAGTGTTACAGAACTCCCTTCTTTCCTTCCCCACATTGACACTCTCCTCCCCACTACCACCCCTCCCCCTTCACTGCACTGTTGTCTGTGTCCATTGGTTACGCATATAAGTTCTTTGGTTTATCTCTTCCCATCCCTCCCATCCTCCTTCCCTCTGAGGTTTGTTAGTGTGTTCTCTACTTCCATGTCTCTGGATCTATTTTGTTCATCAGTTTAATTTGTTCATTAGATTCCACAAATAAGGGAGATTACGTGATACTTATCTTTCTCTGACTGACTTATTTCACCTAGCATAATACTCTCCAGGTCCCTCCATGTCGTCTCAAAGGGTAAGACATCTTTCTTTCTTACAACTGCAGTATTCCATTGTACATATGTATCACAGCTTTTTTTATTTTATTAAAAAAATTTTTTTTTCGCAATGCAGTTACCTGTGTGTGCAGAAGCTATAAACTGAGTGCCACCACACACCTCAGGCAGTGACCCAGGTTTCAGGCAAAGTAGCAAGGGGAAAATTAAAAGTTCCTTTAGTTTTAATATAGCAGCGGTTACCCTTAATCTCACAAGTCATACCCAGAATCATCTGGGGGAATGGGTACTTTGATCTTTTCATAGTTTCCTTCTCGGTAAATAAACTTATATTTTAAAAAATTTTCTTTTCTTTTCTTTATTGATTTTAGAGAGAGAGGAAAGAAGAAGGAGAGAGAGAGAGAGAGAGAAACATCGAGGAGAGAGAACATTGATTGGCCGCCTCCTGAATGCCCCCCACTGGGGATCAGGTCCACAACCTAGGCAGGTGCCCTGACTAGGAATTGAACCAGCAACCTCTTGGTGCATGGGTTGATGCTTAACCACTGAGCCACACTGGCTGGGCTGTATCACAGCTTTTTTATCCACTCATCTACTGATGGACACTTGGGCTGCTTCCAGATCTTAGCTATTGTAAATAGTGCTGCTATGAACATAGGGGTGCATATATTCTTTCTGATTAGTGTTTCAGGTTATATTCCTAAAAGTGGTATCACTAGGTCAATTGGTAGTTCCTTTTTTAAAATTTTTTGAGGAAACACCATATTGTTTTCCATAGTGGCTGCAGCTGTCTGCATTCCCACCAGCAGTATCCTAGAGTACCCTTTTCTCCACGTCCTCACCAGCACTTGTTTGATGATTTATTGATGGTAGCCATTCTGGCAGGTATGAGGTGATACCTCATAGTCAGTTTAATTTGCATCTCTCTGATGATTATTGACATTGAGCATTTTTTCATATGCTCTAGGCCATTTGTATGTCCTGTTTAGAGAGGTGTCTTTTCAGGTCCTCTGCCATTTATTTATTTATTTATTTATTTATTGTGGAAAGTATTACAGATGCCCCCTTTTTGTTCCCCATTGACCCCCACCTTCCTGCTCCCACCCATCTCCTGCTTTCTCCAATCTAATGTCTGTGTTCATTGGTTGTGCATATATGTATATAAGTTCTCTGGTTTATTTCTTCCCATCCCTCCCCCCACTCTGCTGAGGTTTGTTAGTCTGTTCTCTATTTCCATGACTCTGGATCTCTTTTGATTGACAGCTTATTTTGTTCATTATGTTACAAAAATAAGTGAGATCATTGGTGCTTGTCTTTCTCTGACTGGCTTATTTTGCTTAGCATAATGCTCTCCAGGTCCCTCAATGTCGTCTCATAGGGTAAGAGATCTTTCTTTCTTATAGCTGCATACTATTCCATTGTGTAAATGTACCACAGCTTTTGTATCCACTCATCTACTGATGGACAATTGGGCTGTTTTCAGATCATAGCTATTGTAGATAGTGCTTCTATGAACATAGGGGTGCATATTTTCTTCCTGATTGGTTTTTTAGGCTTCTTAGGATATATTCCAAGAAGTGGGATGACTGGGTTAAGTGGCAGTTCCATTTTTAATTTTTTGAAGAAACATCATATTGTTTTCCATAGTGGCTGCACCAGTCTCCATTTCCACCAGCAGTGTGCTAGAGTCCCCTTTTCTCCACATCCTCATCAGCACTTGTTTGAGGCTTTGTTGATGGCCACCATTCTGGTAGGTGTGAGGTGATAGCTTATAATCATTTTAATTTGCATCTCTGATAATTAAGAGATATTGAGCATTTTTTCATGTCTCCTGGACTGTTTGGAGAAGTGTCTATTCAGGTCCTCTGCCCATTTTTAATTGGATTGTTTGTCTTCCTTTTATTGAGTTATATGAGTACTTTATATATTTTGGAAATTAACCCCTTATCCCATGTATCATTGGCAAATATGTTGTCCCATACAGTAGGTTCCCTTTCCATTTTGATGCTGGTTTTTCCTGCTCTGCAGAAGCTTTTTAGTTTGATGTAGTCCATTTATTAATTTTTTCCTTTGTTTCTCTTGCCCCAGGCAATGTATCAGTAAATTCTACTATGTGTGATGTCTGAGATTTTTCTGCCAACATTTTCTTCTAGAATTTTCATGGTTTCACAAGGTACATTTAAGTCTTTTATCCATTTTCAGTTTATACTTGGGTATGGTGTAAGTTAATGGTCTAGTTTCTTTCTTTCTTTCTTTTTTTTTTGCATGTACCTGTCCAATTTTCCCAACACAATTTATTAAAGAGACTGTCTTTATTGCCTTGTATACTCTTGCCTCCTTTGTCAAATATTAATTGAGCATAATGTCTTGGGTTGATTTCTGGGTTTTCTGGTCTGTTCCATTGATCTGTATGCCTGTTCTTGTGCCAGTACCAGGCTATTTTGATTATGATGACTTTGTAGTATAACCTGATATCCAATATTGTGATATCTCCAATTTTGTTCTTCTTTTTCAAGATTGCTGTGGCTATTTGGGGTCATTTTTTATTCCATATACACTTTTGGAGTATTTGTTCTAGATCTGTGAAATATGGCATTGTTTTGTTTGTTTGTTTTTAATCCTCATTCAAGGATATTTTTCTATTTACCATCAGATAGAGTGGAAGAGAAAGAGAGAAACATTGATGTCATAGAGACACATTGACTGGTTGCCTCCCGAACGTCCCAAGCAGGGCTGGGGACGAACCACAACCAAGGTACGTACCCTTGACCAGAATCAAACCTGTGACTCATTGGCCCACAGGCTGACGCTCTAACCATCAGGACTGCCATTGGTATTTTAGTAGGGATTGCATTAAATGTGTACATTGCTTTGGGTAGTATGGACATTTTAATGTTGTTGATTCTTCATGGATTGGAAGAATAAAAATATATTTTAAAAATAATGTTAACAGCCCTGGCCGGTTTGGCTCAGCGGTTAGAGCGTCGGCCTGTGGTATAGAGAGACCCGGGTTCGGTTCCCGCTAAGGGCACGTACCTCGGTTGCAGTTTGACCCCAGCCCTGGTTGGTCGTGCGGGTGGCAGCCACTCGATATGTCCCTTTCACATCGATGTTTCTCTCTCTCTCTCTGTTCCTCTCTCTCCCTCCCACTCTACCTGAACAAAAAAAAAAAGGAAAAATGTCCTCGGGTGAGGATAAAAATAAATAAATAAATAAATAAATAAATAAATAAATAAATAAATAAATAAATAAATAAATAAATAAATAAATAAAATAAAATAATGTTAACAGTCTGGCCAGTGTGGCTCAGTGGTTGAGCATCAAGCCATGCACCAAGAGGTTGCCAGTTTGATTCCCGGTCAGGTCACATGCCCATGTTGTAGGCCCAATCCCCAGTATGGGGCAAGCAGGGGAGGCCAGTTGATGTTCTCTCTCATTGATGTTTCTATCTCTCTCTCCCTCTGCCTTCCTCTGTCTCTAAAATCAATAAAGGGGAAAAGTAATAATAATATTAACTGTAGTCCTGGCCAGTTTTGTTCAGTGGTTAGAGCATTGGCCTGTAGACCAAAGAGTTGTGTGTTCAATTCTGGTCAAGGGCACGCACCTTGCTTGCAGTTTGGTCTCTGGCTCTGGTTGGGGTCGTGGGGAAGGTGACCAATTGATGTGGCTCTCTCGATGTTTCTCTTTCTCTCCCTCCCTCCCACTCTATTTGAAGATAAATGGAAAAATATTCTTAGGTGAGGATTTTAAAAATAAATAAATAAAGGTATTTCCCTGGAAGTTAGGAATGAGACAAGAATGCCTACTTAAAAAAATAATAATGTAACAGTAATTATAATATAGATAAAATTCTAGTTTCTTTTCTGTAATGTTAGTCTAGCATAGTAGTTAAATGCATGCACTCTAGAATCAGACTGACCCAGTTCAAATCCTGCTTCTCCCCACTTAACAGAAGACTTTGGGAAAATGACAATCTATCTGATCCCAGCTCTCTTGCTATAAAATGGCGATATGATCATAATACAATCTCATAAGAAGACTGTGAAAATTAAATGAGATAAACACACAGTCAGTGTGTTGACTATCAATGAAGAATATGAATTCAATACCTTTTTAATTCTTTTTTGTGATCTGTGACTAGTTCACTACTTTCCTTAAGGGCGTTTATTTCATTTGACGTTACTTCACCATCCTGTGGATAGCAAAAGAAATCACATTTTAAAAAATCACCACACCAATAAGTCAATCAATATTTTTTAATAAAATAAAAAAAAGTACATTGGCAATGTATAAATATTATAAAATATCTACATCCCTAGGTACATTCAAACTAGTTTGGTGAAAAAAACTTAACAATATTTTGTACACACACAATTATACTCTATATTTTTAGAGATACATAAAGAAAGAAGAAAAGAATTTTTAACATATCAGCTGTGTCACTGTGGCCAGTGTAGCTCAGTTGGTTGAGCGTCATCCCATGGACCAAAATGTCACTGGTTGATTCCCAGTCAGGGCACATGCCCAGGTTGTGGGCTTGATCACCACTAGGGGGTGTGCAGGAGGCAGCTGATCCACATTCTCTCTTTCTGTCTCTCTGTCTCTCTGTCTCTCTCTCTCTCTCCCCCTCCCTCCCTCCATGTCCTTTTTCTCAAAAAATCCTTTATCTCAAAAAACAAAAATAAAATATCAGTTGTGGTTGTATTTGATAGTAAAACTTTTGACTTTTATTCTTTTTCATTTCTAAACAAATTATGTTTCCCCTTCAAAATTAAAGTGAAGTATTTAGCTATGAACTTACAAAAAAACTAAATATATGCTATGCTTTTCCAAAAGGTTATGTGACAGTAAGACAGATACTGGTACCTATCACATAATATATTTATTTAATATGCCATTAGGAAATTTCTATATTTAGGTCACAAATTCACTCTAAATAATAATAATGCTCCCCCAAATCATTTATTAGATTTACCTTTGTTGTTTCCATTCAGTGAGGTATCTCCTACTTATATATACTATAATTACATTATACTGGGCTAATATTCAATATCAATCAATATTTTGAAAGAACAAAATCCTTTATTATATAATCATACCATTTCTAGAGTAGTCTCCAGTCAATAGTCAGTAGTCAGCAGGCATGTTCTACAAATTTTTTAGTAGAAAAAAACATTGGACTAGGTTGGAACCGAGAAAATGTTTTCCCACTTTGCTAATAATATCTAGGTATGTGAACCAAGACAGATCTTTACTTCTCTTTAACTCAGTTTTCTTATTTCTAAAACTGAATAATTAAATTAATAATCTTTAATGACTTTTGAGCTCTCAAGTTCTGGTATACTCAATAATTACTATCAAATAATAACCATTCTATCACCATTCATGTCCCTGGAAGCACTGTGATAAGTCAAGGATTAAATATTTTGGTCCTTTGTACAAAGTAGACAAAGAACATAAAATAACTATTATTTTCAGGTGACATTTTCAGAATAAAAAACAAATTAATAAAAGGAGTACAAAATATGTAAGTTAATTGCTTGGCTATAGATGTGTTGTATTATAAAGATGTTCTCCCTCTTTATTTAGAAAAATTTCAAACTTACCGAAAATTAAAGAACAATATTATGGGTACTATATTACCTTTTACCTAGATTTACAAAGTGTTAACATTTTTACCACCCTGCATTCCTTCTCTTTATCAATTTTTATTTTTACTGGACCATTTGAAAATGTTTGCAGATATTATGACATTTTACTCCTTAATCTTTAGCATATATTTTCTTAAGAAATATATTTTATCTTTATAATACCACTATCACAAATAAGAAAATTAATGTTATTTCAATATCATCTAATATACAGTCCATATTTATATTTTCCCAATTGTCCTCAAATTTTTTTTTTACCTTTTTCATATTTAAAAAATCCAGAATTCAATCAAGGTTTATATATCACAATTGGTTATGTCTCTTAATCTAAAACGGTCTTCCTGCCTTGTTTTATTTTTATGACATTGTTTTGTTTTTTAAATATGTTTTTATTGATTTTTTAGAGAGAGAAAAAGGGAGAGAGAGATACAAACATCAATGTGAAAGAGAAACATTGATCGGCTTCCTCGTGCATTCCCCCTACTAGAAATTGAATCTGCAACCTGGGCATGTGCCCTGACTGGGAATCAAACTGGGACCTCTCAGTCCATGGGAAGATGTTCAATCCACTGAGCTACAAGGGCTGGGTTTTATGACATTGTTTTAAAGAGCCTAAGCCAGTTAGTTATTTTGTGATATTTCCAATATTCTAGAATTGCCTGAGTGCTTGTTTACTCAGAATTAGATTCAGGTTAAGCATTTTGGACAAGAACATTACAAGATAATATTGTGTGCTTTGTACTATATTACATCAAACTGAACATAATGAGAGGTTGTTCCAGTATTGGTAATACTAAATTTGATCAGTTGGTTAAGATGGTGGTCTGATAGATCTGTCCAGTGTAAAGGTACATTGCTTACCTTTATAATAAGTAATCCATGAGGTGATCATCTGAGATCATGGCTTTAACATCCATTAATGACTCTTGCCTAAATCAATTATTTTATTGTGGGGCTTTTCTATTCTATCATTCTTTGTATATTTATTAGCTGCTATTCTGTAAGAAAAATTTCTCTTATCCCACCTTTTCCTTCCTACTTTTCTTCCTCCCGTCCTTTCTTCTCCTTTTCCATTTTTTTCTTTCTTTATGCTCTTGCAGTATCACTACAGAATCATAGATTTTTAAAAAAAATTTAATGTTTTATAATCCACCACTGTCATTGTTATTTTTGAAGTTTAAATTATTCCAAATTTTGCTATTGCATAAAGATTCAGAAGTCAAAAGCATAGGCAAATTTGAGGCAGAACGGCAAAAGCTATAAAAGTCATTTTTTTATATTATACACATTTATTGAGGGGAATTATTCAAAACACTTAACAAACAGCACAACAGAGTATAATCAGAATCTACACTGGCAGTAAGGGACTGGTATATACTGTGCAACTATTACTCCCTTTATATTATAGACAAAAGAAAATTTTCAAGTTATGTGAATAATTTCATTCATACAAAAAAATCTCTAGCCCTGGCCAGCTTGGCTCAGTGATTAGAGCATTGGCCCACAAACCAGAGAGACCTGGGTTCGGTTCCTGCTAAGGGCACATACCTCGGTTGCAGTGTGAGTGGCAACCAGTTGATGTGTCTGTCTCACATAGATGTTTCTAACCCTCCCTCTCTCCCTCCCACACTATCTGAAGATAAATGCAAAAATGTCCTTAGGTAAGGATTAAAAAATTTAAAAAAAACTTAAAAAAAATCTCAATATTATTAATGTACTCTTCTAGAAACAATGTAAAATCAGATAGTGTTCAATAAAAGCATGGCCTTTAATCTTCACTAGAGGATATTTTTTTCATTGGTTTTTAGAGAGTAGAAGGGAGGGAGGGAGGGGGAGAAAAGAAGGAAGAGAGAGAGAGAAACAACACATCAATTGGTTGCCTCCCACATGCACCTGGACTGTGATGGAGATGAACCTGCAACACAGGTGTGAGCCTTTGAATGGAAATTGAACCCAAGAGCCTTTGGTATGTGGATTGGGTGTGCTAACCACTGAACCACACAGGCCAGGACAAAAGCATGGCCTTTAAATTTCTTAATGTGGATCATTGGTGCTAACATGTCACAGGTAAACATTTCTAAGATAACAATGCTTTAAAAAATTTTTGAAACTGTAGATTCTAATTAAGTACCTTATTTTAACTCTTACCTTTTCTGTCAGAAAATCTTGGTCTTGTTCCCAAATAAAACTACCAATTTTTCTTCTTATTTCTGCAATAGGGAAAAAAAATCCAATACTATTTTTTAAAAAGTAAATGTAAAATTTTCTGAATTTTACTTGCAGTCTGGAATTGCTAAGCCAGTGTTATTCCACTTGTTTCAAAATCACTGAAGATACTTGTTTAAAATGCAGATTCCCTTTGAATCAGATCATTGAGAAGGAGCTCAGGAATTTGCATTTCTAGCAAACTTTTCAGATGACTCCAATGCATTATGAGAATCATTGTTGTAAACTTTTCCAGCTGGAATATATCTCTTCATTAGATGCCAGTGTCTTTAGGCCAAGCACGAATAAAGACGATGACTGTCCAGTCAAAATAAAAGCTATACAATTTCTGAATTTGTAGAATAGAGGTCCTCAAGAATTCAATATTTTATGTTGCTAATGGCTCAGTATATCAAAGAACTATGTCATCATTCTAACTCAAAGATCTTAAAAGTTTCCACAATAGCCCACTCAAGGACAAAAGATAGCATTCTTATATATCTATTCTGCCTAGTAGTAGCCATTAGGCTAACTAGCTACATGTGGGCATCATATTAAAATGTGTCACTAGTCCAAAATGAGATATGCTATAAGGGTAACATAAATACTGAATTTCAAAGATTTAGTATTAAAAAAAGTAAAATATTTCAATAATTTTTATATTGGTTATATATCAAAATGATAGTTTAGATATATTGTTAAATAAAATATATTCTTAGAATTAATTTTACCTGTTTCTTTTTATTCTTTTTAATGTGGCTACTAGAAAATTTAAGATTAGTATGTGGCTCACATGTGTCTTCATACTTCTACTAGACAATACTGGTCTAGGTGGATAATAATGTATAGTTTTTATTTTTTAAAAGGAGCATGTTTTCATTTCTGACAGTTTTTTAAAATTTAAATACAATTTAATGTAAGATGCTAAACTCAAAGACAGGAGTCATTAATTTATTTATTTACATAACCATTTAAGAGCAATTTATTGTTATAACTATGTCCTACCAGGACATGAACTATGAAAGGGCCCTGGCCAGTTTGGCTCAGCGTTTAGAGCGTGGGCCTGCGGACCAGAGAGCCCCGGGTTCGGTTTCCACTAAGAGAATGTACCTCGGTTGCAGTTTGTCCCCACCCAGGTTGGGGTCATGTGGGTGGCAACCAGTCGATGTGTCTCTCTCACATAGATGTTTCTCTCTCTCTCTCCCTCTCCCTCTCTCTCTCTCTCTCTTTCTCTCACTCCCTCCCACTCTATCTGAAGATAAATACAAAAATGTCCTTGGGTGAAGATAAAAAAAAAAAAAAAAAAAAAACAACTATGAAAGGAACTCAATCTTTGGGGTTTCTAAAACTCTTCTATAGAAATCTTTTTCAATATATTTTTTTAATACTTTGCTCACGCAGAATTTGTCAGCTTTTGACAGTTTCCATCTGTCTTGCTAGGGATGGACATATGCACATCAAGAATTGGGTAATAATGCAAGACCTACAAAAATGGGATATTCAGCCCTGGCCGGTTTGGCTCGGCGGTTAGAGCGCCAGCCTGCAGTATGGAGAGACCCAGGTTTGGTTCCCGCTAAGGGCGCATACCTCGGTTGCAGTTTGTCCCCGGCCCTGATTGGGTCATGTGGGTGGCAACCACTCGATGTGTCCCTTTCACATCGATGTTTCTCTCTCTCTCTCTCCCTCCCACTGTATCTGAAAAAAAATATCAAAAAATGTCCTCGGGTGAGGATGAAAAAAAGAAAAAGAAATATAACAGAGATTCAAAACTAGCAAAGAATATTTTATTGAATGCTCACATATTAGACTACTTATATTATCTCATTTTATGCTTAAAACAACTTGGGAGAAGCTACTAAAGGTTACAGAACTAGTGCGTGTTGGATCCCAGCCAGTGAACACTGTGAGGACAAGATTTGCGTGTATATTATTCAGCACTGAATCCCCAGGGGTTGAAACCTGGCACGCAGTAGGGGCTCAGTGAATTTGTGAATGAAGGATAAACAAATAAAACTAGTACAGCTGATGTGGCTCGGTGGTTGAGTGTGGACCCATGCACCAAGAGGTCACTGGTTCGATTCTGGTCAGGACACATGCCCATGTTAAGGTCCTGATCCCCAGTGAGGGGCATATGGGAAGCAGCCAATCGATGTTCTGTCTCATCGATGTTTCTCTCTCTCTCTCCCTCTCCCTTCTCTCTCTAAAATCAATAAAGGGAAAGAAAATTAAAAGGAGTGATTCTCATTTTAGAAAAACAAATAAAACAAATAAAAGTAAAATATACATCCAGGCAATCTGATTCAAAGTCCATGCTTTTCCACTTAAACAGTACAGTTGAGTGACTTAGCTGGATTTGGCTGTCTAACAGGGATTGGATGAATGATCTTTGCTAACCTTCTTGCAGGCATGCAGGAGGAAGAACGAAATGACCTAAGGCCACTGAATTTTTAATTTCAGCATTAGCTACTGCAGAGAGATAGTAGGCATGAAAAACTGTAGCATTATCGTCTATGTAATCGAGGCTCTGATACACTCTAGGAGAAAGAAAGGAAATATTTTAGGTTATGAAATAAACAAGATTGTATTCAACCTTTCAAAAATAGAATAAAAATGTGGAAGTAGGGGGAGTTATCTGTAGGTAATCAGGAGATTGGGGGATAAGGGGGTGGGGAAGGGGGGCAGCCAGGTGGTGATTAGACCTCTGCTTTATAAACATAATCCGACACCAATGAGGAGGAGGATCACAGGTGGGCAGACTGAAAGTAGAGCAACCTCTCTGAAAAATGCCGTGCTAGTCAGGGAGATAATTAGGGGTGTGTACTGAGAACATTTGAGAGGTACAATCCATGGTGTTTGGCCACCGGCTGATTAATGCGGACAGAACTGTTATTCAAAAGAAGCTAGGAGGGTTTTAAGCTTGAGAACACAGGACCTGGTGCAGGTATATGGAGCAATCGGGAGATGTGGTATTGAATCCCAGGGGCCTTCAGGAAGTCACGTGCAGTTGTGAGAGAGGCAGCTGTTAACACTGAAACTCGAGAAATGACTCGGGGGCCAGGTAGGAGGCCATGCCATTGTGGCAGAAAGGAGAGGAGACAGGTTATCTATTTTAATCCCCACATCTAGGGCTGAAAACTTGCTCGTTTCCAGTCTCTTCCGATCATCCGTATTTATGAATGGACTGCAATTTCCACCTCCAACTCTTGGCTCATCACGACTCGAGAGGCAATGCCGGGTGGCGTTCAAGTACCTCAGCGTGTCTGGGTGGGAAGCATCACAGCTGAACAAGAAGTCGGCGGCCCTCAGGTCACTGATTGTCCCCCCTTCGGCCACTGTGGAGGCAAGAGCAAAGAAAGGGTAAGCCAGCAAGCGCCTTGGGGCCAAGGCACAGAGTGGGGAGGGGTGCTACCCTCACCCCACCCTTACCCACCCTTTCCACCCAGCTTCCTACCCCAGAATTGCCTCAGGTCTCCGCCGACGCTGCGGCAGAACCAACCCCGCTGCCCTTGAAACATGGCGCCACCTTGCAGATGAGGATGTGGGTGAGAGAGCTGTAGCAGAGATCGCTGATTGGTCCCACGTCCAAAACCACGCTCCATGATTGGTTCTCAGGGTAATGGGCGGGAAAAGCCTGAAGCAGGAGGGAGAAAGATCGCACCACTTCCCGATTGAGCTGACTAACTCCTAGGATTGAGGAGAGGACTCTCGGTCTTCCCTTCTGCAGCCAGGGGGCGTCAGTAGTCATGCTTGTGAGTTGTAAACCCTAAGTATTAACTAAATTATTGTGCAATGTTTTACAGGCATGGGTGCAGGTTCTGTAGCATCAAATATTTTTTTTAATTGAAGCATAATTGACTTAACAATATTATATTAGTTTCAGGAGTACCATATAGTGATTCAATATTTATGTACATCAACATGTGATTATTTCTGAAAGTCTAGTGACCTTCTGTCGCTGTATGAAGTTATTAAAGTACTACTGACTATGCTGTTGTTATAATCCCTTTGTCTTATTTATTTGTTAACTGGAGGTTTGTACCCCTTAATCCTCTTCACCTAGTTTGCCCACCGCCTGCCACCACCTCCCTCTGGCAACCACCAGTTTGTTCTCTGTATCTATGAGTCTGTTTCTGTTTTGTTTTATTTTATTTTTTAGATTTCACATAAGTGAAATCATACTGTAAATATCTCTGTCTGAGTTACTTAGCATAATGCCCTCCAGGACACAGCATGTTGCAAATGGCAAGATTTCACTTTTATGACTGAGTAATAAAATTCCATTGTATATATACCCCACGTCTTTATTCATTCATAATATCCATGAACACCTGGCTATTAGAAATAATGCTGCAGGGCACATAGAGGTGTATATGTCCTTTCGAGTTGGTTAAATGCCCAGAAGCAGAATTGTAGCATCAAGTACTATTTTGAAGCAAAACTCATTTTTTCATTTCATCGATAAATGTTTTAACTGGACTTTTAAAAAAAACTTAACCACAGCCCGGAACAAAAAATGAAAAAAATGTCCTCGGGTGAGGATAAAAAAAAACAAAAACATAACCACAATACCATTATTATAAACACTTTAAAATGATAATTTTAATACAAATATCACCAGTATTCAAATTTCCAGTTTTCTCAAAATTGTTTTGCTTTTACAAAATCCCTCCCCCTCCTTAGATCAGTTTATTTTATTTATTTATTTATTTATTTTAAGTCCTAGGTTGTCTATTTTCTACAACATTTTGAAAATAGTGTTCCGTTACATTCTCCCATTGTCTTCTGGCTTTTATTCTCATTGAGAATTTTGTTCTCAGCCCAACTTTTATTTATTTATTTATTATCCTCACCTGAGGACATTTTTGCATTTATCTTCAGATAGAGCAGGAGGGAAAGAGGGAGGAAGAAAGAGAGAGAGAAACATTGATATGAGAGAGACACATTGAGTGGCTGCCACCCACACGACCCCAACCAGGGCCGGGGACAAACTGCAATCAAGATACGCGCCTTTAGCGGTAACCGAACCTGGGTCTCTCCAGACTGCAGGCCAACGCTCTAACCGCTGAGGCAAACTGGCCAGGGCAGATCAGTTTATTTTTAATGTTTAAAAATTTTTTTTTCAATTGACATGGACAACAAAGCTGGGGACAGGGTGGGGAGGAAGGGGGAGAGGGAAATAAGTGGGGGGGGGGGGGAAGGAGAGACATCTGTAACAAAAATAAATTAATTAATTAAATAAAAATAAATATAAAATTGATTGATTGACTGATTGATTTTGAGAAAAAGAGGAACAACAATTTGTTGTTCCACTTATTTATGCATTCATTGGTGAATTCTTGTATGTGCCCTAACTGGGGATCTAACCCAAAATTTTGACGTATTCAGACAACTCTCTGACCAACTGAGCTACTTGGTCAGGATTAGATCTGTTTTGATAAGATACATTTTCGGTGTTGGGCTCATTTAGTCTAAAATTTCAAAAATACTGATATAAAGTTGTTCATTAAAATATTTATTGCCCTGGCCAGTTTGGCTCAGTGGTTAGAGCGTCGGCCTGCGATTCAGAGAGACCTGAGTTTGGTTCCCACTAAGGGCGCTACCTCAGTTGCAGTTTGTCCCTGGTCCTGGTTGGGTTGTGCGGGTGCCAGCCACTTGATGTGTCCCTTTCACATTGATATCTCTCTCTCTCTCTCTCTCTCTCTCTCTCTCTCTCTCCCCCTCTCCCTCTCCCACTCTATCTGAACAAAATATGGAAAAAGTTTATTATCTTTTGTAATGTCTGCAAGGCTATGCAGTAATGGCTCCTTTTTCATTTTTTATATTATTTGTGCCTTTTTATTTTTTAGTCTTACCAGAGGTTTGTCCTTTTTTTTTTTTTTTTTTTTTTTGTGCATGCCCCTAGCGGGAACCAACCCCGGGACTCTCTGGTCCGCAGGTTGATGCTCCATCCGCTGAGCCAAACCAGCCAGGGCGAGGTTTGTCAATTTTATTAGCCTTTTCGAAGAACAAACTTCTGGCTTCATAGATACTCTCATTATTTCTTTTCTATATCATTAATTTCTGCTCTTATAATTTCCTTGGTTTTATTTTTTTTATTTCTTATCCTCACCCGAGGGCATTTTTCCATTTTTTGTTCAGATAGAGCAGGAGGGAGAGAGAGGAAGAGAGAGAGAGAGAAACATCGATGTGACGGGACACATCGAGTGGCTGCCACCTGCACGACCAACCAGGGCCGGGGACAAACTGCAACCGCAGTACATGCCCTTAGCGGGAACCCAACCTGGGTCTCTCTGCAGCAGGCCGACGCTCCAACCGCTGAGCCAAAACGGCCAGGGCTAATTTCCTTGGTTTTAAATTGCTGTTCTTTTTCTAATGTTTTAAAAGAGATGACTAATTTTTAAGATTTGTTTTTCTAAATATACATGTAAGCCTATACATTTTCTTTAAACTGTGTGCCAAAGTATTTGAGATGTTATTGTTTATTATTCAATTTATAATATTTTGGGGTTTCCAATGTAGGTTATTTGATCCATAGGATATTTAAAATAATTTTTAAATACCAAATACATGGCATTGTTTGCTTATCTTGTTGTTATTGAATTCTAGATTCTTAAATGCATTAAGGTAAAAGAATATGGCCTGTACAGCCAACATCATGCTCAATGGGCAGAAACTAAAAGCATTTCCCTTAAGAACAGGAACAAGACAGGGATGTCCACTTTCACCACTCTTATTTAACATAGTACTGGAACCCTTAGCCACAGCAATCAGACAGGAAATAAATATAAAAGGGATCCAAATTGGAAAGGAGGAAGTGAAACTGTCATTATTTGCAGATGACATGATACTATACGTAGAAAACCCCAAAGACTCCACCAAAAATTTACTAGACTTAATAAATGAATTTGGCAAAGTAGCAGGATACGAAGTTAACGTCAAGAAATCGATGGCGTTCTTATACACCAATGATGAACTCACAAAAAGAGAAACTGAATAAACAATCCCATTTATCATCACAGCAAGAAAATTAAGATACCTGGGAATAAACTTAACCAAAGAAGTAAAGGACCTATTTGGAGAAAACTACAGGACATTGAAAAAATATATATAGAGAGGAAGATATAAAAAAGTGGAAGCACATACCTTGTTCATGGATTGGAAGAATTAACATCATTTAAATGTCCATATTACCCAAAGCAATCCATAGATTCAATGCAATTCCCATCAAAATACCAATGACATATTTCATAGAACTAGAACAAATACTTCAAAAGTTTATATGGAACCAAAAAAGACCCTGAATAGCCACAGCAATCTTGAAAATACCAGATATCAGGTTATACTACAAAGCTACTATAATCAAAACAGCCTGGCACTGGCACAAGGACAGGCATATAGACCAGTGGAACAAACAGAGGACCCAGAAATAGACCTAAGACATTATGCTCAATTAATATTTGACAAAGGTGGCAAGAGCATACAATGGAGTAAAGACAGCCTCTTTAAGAAATGGTGTTGGGAAAATTCGACAGCTACATGCAAAAAAGAAAGAAAGAAAGAAAGAAAGAAAGAAAGAAAGAAAGAAAGAAAGAAAGAAAGAAAGAAAGAAAGAAAGAAAGAAGAAAGAAGAAGAAAGAAGGAAAGGAAGGAAGAAAGAAAGAAGGAAGGAAGGAAAGAAAGAAAGAAAGAAAGAAAGAAGAAAGAAAGAAAGAAAGAAAGAAGAAAGAAGACCATCAACTTACACCATACACAAGAATAAACTCAAAATGGATAAAAGACTTAAATGTGACCCGGGAATCCATGAAAATTTTAGAAGAAAATGTAGGCAACAAAATTTCAGGCATTATGCACAGCAGAATTTTCACTGATACATCACCTAAGGTAGCAGAAACAAAGGAAAAAATGAACACATGGGACTACATCAAACTAAAAAGCTTCTGCACAGCAAAAGAAACCACCATCAAAATGGAAAGGCAACCCACTGTATAGGAGAGCATCATTGCCAATGATACATCAGGTAAGGGGTTAATTTCCAAAATATATAGAGTACTCATACAACTCAAAAAAGGAAGACAAAGAACCCAATTAAAAAATGGGCAGAGGAACTAAATAGACACCTCTCCAAACAGGACATACAAATGGCCAAGAGACATATGAAGTAATGCTCAACTTCACTAATCATCCGAGAGATGCAAATTAAAACAACAATGAGGTATCACTTCACACCTGCCAGAATGGCCGCCATCAACAAATCATAAAACAATAAGTGTTGGCAAGGGTGTGGAGAAAAGGGGACTCTAGTACACTGCTGGTGGGAATGCAGATTGGTGCAGCCACTATGGAAAACAATATGGTGTTACCTCAAAAAATTAAAAATTGAACTTCCATTTGACCCAGTGATCCCACTTCTAGGAATATACCCTACGAACACTGAAACATCAATCAGAAAGAATATATGTACCCCCATGTTCATAGCAGCACTATTTACAATAGCTAAGATTTAGAAACAGCCCAA